ATGGTGGGATAATAGGAATATATGATATACCAGTGGCAGCTGTAAGACTGACAGTGGGCAAGCTAGGATACATCACCTATATTTGGGAGAATCCTCTTGGCATTGAAGAAGGACGACACAGCACTAAACTCGAGCCCAGTGCAGTGGTCAATACAAACAAATTAGATACTGATAGGCCCCTGATGCCGGGCCTTTGGAAAGTACGTTTGGAATTAAATTCAAAAGTTTACAAAACTCTTGAGTTCTTGGTGACACCACTGTATTATGATGGGGCCGTGCCACTCAGTAGCCCACCTGCTGTTAATGCCAAGCGCATGAATCACAGTGATACAGTGTTGACAAAATCTGAGAACTACAAAGAATGGAGCCATAACGTTGTAAAGGATGGCCCTGAACTTCTGAACTGGATTGACCAGTTGGTCAGCAGGTTTTGGAGTGTGCAGGCAGGCTGCAGTGTCCTAGAGGGAAGTTCCTCTTGTTCCTCTTTCCCTTCTTGTCATGAGTCCAAATGGAGCACTTATTTTCCAGACCCTAAATCTGAACTGGGTCCTGTACAGTCTAATGGAAGGATTCCTTAATTTATTTTGTCACTATGTCAAATTATTTTTAATTTTAGTCAATATTATAATAATCAATTAATTAAGTGCGTGGGTGCACAAAAAGGTGGGGCTAATATGTAATTTATTATTCATTAGTTAACTAGTCATTAATATTCATTGTTGCCACGGTAACCGCTAAACACTGGTCGAACCTCCTCACAGGCTCACATTCCATCTCTTCCCTATGAACTAGGAGAGAATGGCTGCCAATCGTGTTCCTGAGGGACAGTACACAGAGACTATATATGGAATGGTAAGAGAGAGATAAGGAATACAGAGAGAGAGAAATAATGTTTACAAGAGGTGTGGTTTCTAGATCAAAGAAGGTAAACATGCTGAAGTGATTCAAATACTAAACGTTGAGTTACAGACTCACCAAAAGGTATTGTATTATACTATAGCAATGCTATCTCCCTCCTCCTCCTTTCTTTCTAGTCGAGAGCAGCTCTCTCTTTATTAGGCTATTGTTACTATCAGGCACAGTCATTCTCTGCAGCTGCTGACTGGTTAGTATCAACTGGCGATTGATTTCATTATTATTTGTTGAAATTTTAAAATTTATGAAATAGTTATGAGCAGCTGGTGCAGCTTCATCCTGAAGTACATGAGTATCAGTTGTATCACGCTCAGGTTTGGCAATGATTATTAGTAATGCTTAATTTTTATATTAATTTTCTCTCAGTCTCTTTACAAAGCCTGCAATTATCAGGAAGCCATGAAAGTATCTTGTCACCTTGAAAATGAGGAGCATCAAACTGAAGTAAACCAATCAATACTATTAGCAGTAAATAATGGTGACATCTTTGTTTTTCAGGTTATTAAGCTCCAGGCATCTATAAGATATGCTGAAGAGGATTACCCTAATGCCAGGGTAAGTAATTACTGGTAATTAAAAACTTGTTTTTTAATTACTGGTTATAAATATGTTTGTGTGTTAGTCAGGGTTTCCCACAAAGCATACTAAGTTAGCTAAACAGCATGAGCTTCATGAGCTGATAAGCACTACAAGTCAGTACATGACAATTGGAGCAGCTTTTGAAATTCATTAAAAAAATCAAAATTTGATTGGGATTTCTACACAACATAGGAACGTGTATAAGTGTCATAAAAATTATAAAAATAGGGAATTTTTTCCTTTGTAATTTTTGACAAAATTTGACCAACATCCTTGTACTGTCATAGTGCAAGGTGTTTGGCCCAATTTTTGAGCTGCTTTAAAAATCATAAAAAATCCAAATTTTATTAGAATCAGCTTAAAGTTGATACATGACATAAGAGATCAATATACATGTACATATATAATCAGAAAAAATTTAAAAGTGGAGAATTTTTTCCTTGTAATTTTGTCAAAATTCACTGTACTTTAGTACAATGTCTTTTGCTCAATTTTTGAGCAACTTGACAATCCACAAACAAAAAAAAAAAGCTGCATGAGCACTATGCCAAAATCCTGTTGGAAAGGCTGGTGTTAATCCTTTGAATTAACATGTAATGAAATATGTTACTATTTATAGACACTGGTTGAGAGATGCCCTTCTAGTGATCCAGATGTCGAGTGTAATATTGGCTGTGTATTATTTAAAGTATGCTATTATTACTATTAGTATTATCAATAGAATTGAATGATATTTTCCCCTCCATTATTATTTTTATTATTATTATTGCAGGAAGGTCATTATGAGGAGGCATGCACTAAATTCTCATTAGCAATGCAAAAGATTGGCTACAAAGCAGGTAGAAGAGAAAGAGAGAGAGAGAGACAACAGGGGTGGTGTTTTCCATCTTTTCCATTAGATATATGTTACAACATTGCTCTCTGCTATTACAAGATGAAGAAATATGCCGGATCTCTTAAATATATCACTGAAATAATAGAGCGAGGGATCAAAGACCATCCAGGCACATTGATTGATATTTATATTATTGCTTATTATTATTATTTTAGAATTAAGTGTTGGATTACAAACTGAAGGACTTGATGTCAGAAGTGTTGGCAATACCAAGGTATAAACTATAAAAATATTTTTTATGTCCTAGGCATAATTTCTCTCTTTTGTAGGCACTTCAAGACACTGCTCTTATTGAGGCTTTTAATTTGAAGGCAGCAATTGAATATCAACTTAAAAATTGTAAGAATTGAAAAAGTACAAAGAATTCATAACCTTTCCTCTCTCTCCCTCTCTCTCCCTCTCTCTGTAAGTTGATGGTGGCCAAGAAGCATTGACAGACATGCCACCAAGAGCGGAAGAAGTAAGTCCTGATGCTATAGATGTAATACATGAATATATATGTAATTAGGAGTTAGATCCGGTTACCCTGCATAATCAGGCACTCATGAACATGAGTGATAATCCTACTCAAGGCTTTGAGAAACTCCAGTTCTTACTGCAGCAGAATCCTTGTCCACCAGGTAATACAGCAACTTTCTAAAAAATTAATTTTGATTGGAATCAGCTCAAAGTTCTACTCATCATAAGGATATGTATCAGCAAAAAAATAATAAAAACGAAGAAATCTCTTATAGTCATTTTAGCAAAATACCCTGAACTCAGGGTTTCCAACAGGATTTTGGCATAGAGTACCCTGCCTGTATGTATTTTTAATTTGACAAAAAAATCACTATAGTACATGTACAGTATATCTAGAGAGAATTTTCCATTTTTATAGATTATTTTCTGATGCAAAACATTGATCAGATTCCAATCATTTTTTATGAATTTTTTGGTCACTCAAAAATTGGGACAAAGAAAATTAATTTTATCAGAAATGCCTTTGAGCAGAATTTTTATAATATTTTTGAAGCATATGCATGTACTTACATTGTGTAGAAAGTTTGAGCTGATTCTGAACAAAATCGGATTTTTATGAATGCTCCAAAAGCCACGTACTTGTCAGCTCATGAAGCATGCTTTGTGGAAAACCCTACCTCTTTTTGAAGCAACTTTTAACAGTTTTTTGTTCTTTTTATTAGAGACATTTCCTAATCTGTTACTACTTTACCTAAAGTATGAGGTAAGGATTATTATATTACATGTTCCTTATGATTACACTGTCCTGTAATTGATAGTATTATGATCTAGCTGCTGACGTAATGGCAGAGAATGCTCATCTCACGTACAAATGTCTCTCAACTTATCTCTACGATTTCCTTGATGCTGTGCTTACATCACAGACAGCTCCAGAGGAAGCTTTTCGTAAGCTTGAAGTGATGTCATCGCATCAAACCGAGAAGCTACGTAAGCTGACAAAGAAAGTCCAAGATCAGCGAGACAAGCATAATGATGATCTGGTCAGAAAAGCAGTCGAGGAATATGATGAGGCACTGGAATGGTAAGTAGTAATTTTATTTATTTTTATTACTGATTATTATTGCTAGTTATATACCAGTATTGATGGCACAAGCTAAGTTGTATTGGGTTCATTTCAATTATGCTCAAGTGGAGAAACTGTTTAGAAAAAGTGTTGAGTTTTGCAGTGAACGTGACGAATGGAAACTAAATGTGGCACACGTATTGTTTATGAGAGTAAGAGGGGAGAGAGAGAAAGGGAGGCAGGACTTGATTCTTGTTTTAGGATAAGTTTAAAGAAGCTTGTGGTTTCTATCAAACTGTTGTAAAGAAACATGCAGAAAATGTAAGAGATAAAGACGACATGGAAATGAATTATTTTTTGCTTACAGTTACTGACTGTCAGTGCTGCTGTACTTGGAAACCTTTGTGTAGCTTATGTTATGAACAGCGAGACTGATGAGGTTATTATTATTATTATAATCATCATCATCATTATTATTATTATTATTATAAATACAGCAGCAACAACTATAATTATAATGTATTTTTTAGGCTGAAGAGTTAATGAAAAAGATAGAAAAAGAAGAGGTGACTCCTACAATAAAAAAATAATTAAAATAATATTCAATAATAGGAAGAAATGGCTTACGATGACCCTGATAAGAAACTGTTCCACTTATGCATTGTCAACCTAGTGATTGGGTAACTACACCTTGTTGTATGTAGCATTAAAAATTAAAATATATTTCTCTAGTACTTTGTATTGTGCTAAAGGGAATTATGAATTTGGTGTAATAAGAGTTATGAAGAGTTTAGAACCTTACAATAAAAAGGTAGAGCAAATGTATATTACTTTTATTTACTATAATATTTATTATAATACATGTAGTTAGGAACCGAGACATGGTTTTATGTGAAAAGGTGCTTCATATCACTTCTTGAAAATATGGTAATTATAATGATATTAGTTTGATATTAGTTGAGGATTGATTATTGATAGGCTAAGCACATGATAATGTTAAAGGACAGTGTCATTGAAGAAATATTAAAATTCCTTGACCAATGTGAAGGTATAGTAACAATAAAAATGATGACGATCTCATTTAATATCTTTTTGTTAGCTTATGGTCGCAGTGTATTGTCAATGGTAGAACAACCTCTTGAGCAGAATCCAATACCTGTGGGTCAAAATACTGTCACTTATGAAGCACGTTTACTTAAATCACTGTTTTTGAAACTCTGGAAATAAAAATAATGTTGATAATTATTACTTCAGATTGACACGTGAACGCACGTGGTTAAAGTATACGGAGTCCGTTATGGTTTGTAGCCGGTGATAGGTGTGTCTTAGTAGGTGGGGCTGGAAATAAGGAAGAGATTCCAAAACACAACAAAAGTGGTTCCGTTCTCCACTCTTTGTCCGCCATATTAAACCCCTAGCCTGATGGCCAGTCTGCCTAATTCAGGAGGCACCACAGCCTCTCCTTTCATAAGCTCATCCTCTTCGATCAGTGCTAGGAGTGAGAGCGACCAGCAACAAATGAGATCCGCCGCGGGGCTAACACGTAGCCTCAGCAATGTATCCAGTCAACTGAGCCGTACCTCTGTCCCTTCTTCTACCACCAGTCCTTCGGTAGTACCCACGACCATAGGAAGCGGGAAAGTGGAGAGAAGCTGTGCCGAGTCCGAGCAACAAGAGCCCTCGGCTCCAATAAAGAAGGTCTATTCCTCAAAGAAGATAATAGAGAAAGCATTTCACGTTTTGGATGAAATGAGGAAAGGAGGACATCTTTGTGATGTTACGATAAGAATAGGAACTCAGGATTTTAGTGTACACCGTGTCGTACTTGCTGCTACCAGCCCATACTTTCTGGCAATGTTTACTGGTAAATATTTACACATAGTGCATTCATTTTTTTCTTTATTTTATTACCATTTAAAGTATTATACGTTTGAATATAATTTTACAATTCTCCCTCTCTTTCCATAGGTGAGCTATCAGAAAGCAAACAAGACGTCGTTACGTTGAAAGAAGTTGAGCCGACGGCCATTAGCCTTTTAATCCAGTTCATGTACACTGGGTCCATTGAGGTCGGAGAAGACAATGTACAGAGTCTCTTACCACCTGCTAACCTCTTGCAACTCAATGAGGTACGAGACGCTTGCTGTGATTTCTTAAAGGACCAGCTCCACCCAACCAACTGCCTCGGGATCAAAGCCTTTGCTGATATCCACTCGTGTCATGATCTTCTCTCTGATGCCCAGGCCTTTGCACAGAAACATTTCTCGAAAGTGATGGAATCAGAGGAATTCTATTGCCTCTCTCATACCGACGTCATAGAGCTGGTATCGAGCACGGAGCTTGGGATATTGCTAGAAGAGGACGTTTTTGAGGCCGTTATATCATGGACCAAGTATAACACTAAGGAAAGAGCAACCTATCTACCTGAACTCCTCAAACACGTGAGGTTCTTGTTCTTACGACGCGAGTATCTCGTCCATCGGGTCTGTGAAGAAGAGCTCATTCAATCCAACCCTGCTTGTAAAGACTTTCTAATTGATGCACTAAAGTACCACCTCCTTCCTCCTAATGACCGTACCTCACTCGCTGGCTCCAACTGTCCCCCTAGGAAGAGGATTGGTATGCCACAGTCTATACTAACGGTTGGTGGTCAGGCCCCTAAGGCTATACGTAACGTTGAGATATTTGATGTCAACAGTCACAGCTGTCACAATGGCCCAGAGCTGTTGTCAAGAAGATGCAGGTGTGGAGTTACCATTCTTAATAACTCTGTGTATGCTGTTGGAGGCTTTGATGGGACCTCTCGAGTCCGGTAAGAAAAGGAAAGAGAATTCCTACCATTATTATTGTTACTATCATTGTTTAACCTATAGCTCTGTTGAGAGGCTTGATCTAGATACAGAGAGATGGTCGCACGTTGAGCCTATGCTGTCAAGGAGGAGCACCCTAGGAGTGGCTGTCCTTAAAGGAGAGATGTACGCCATTGGAGGGTTTGATGGTAACAACGGACTGGACACTGTCGAGAAATACAACCCTGGTAAGACCCTCCTTATATTGTGGTTGTGGTCGACATACCATTGATACCAACCTCTCTTTGTTTGTTTGTGTACATGCGGATTATTAGCAGCTGTCTAATGAGTGATGGTTGTTGTCAGTTTGTTTTATTAACACATATTTGCACCTACTGCACCTCAAACAGATGGTTATATTGTTATGTATTTCTGCCTTTACTAGAAACCAAGCAATGGATAGCAGTTGCTAGTATGAACACAAGACGCTCCAGTGTGGGCGTGGCTGTTATGAACGATCTCCTTTATGCCGTTGGAGGGTATGATGGTTTTGCTCGCCAGTGCCTTAACTCGGTTGAAGTGTATGATCCCAATACAAACGAATGGTCAACCATAGAGCCGATGATACAAAGACGAAGTGGAGCTGCTGTGGCTGTCATTGATAATATACTGTATGCGATAGGAGGCCATGACGGCCCTGATATAAGGAAGAGCGTGGAGTGTTACGACCCTCAGTCTAATAAATGGTCTCGTATTCCTGACATGTTTACCTGTAGACGGAATGCAGCTGCTGCCGTGGTTTACAACCTCTTGTATGTAGTTGGGGGAGACGATGGTGTTACTAATCTACCAAATATCGAGATATACGATCCTATTTTTAAGACATGGAAGGTGGCCCAGGGCACGTTGTCCTTAGGGAGGAGTTACGCTGGTGTGGCTGTTGTGGATAAACCAGGAGACGGCCCAACAGCTACTGCTATTAGCCAATCATAAACTTATTGCATTGCATATATTGGATAATATTTATCCACCTTTACTTAATAATAATAATAATAATAATAATTGTTATTATTATTATTGTTTTTATCGTGATGCAGCTGTACTGTTTCCTCATTCATTCATTCAATAGGCTCCACCCTTTTTATTAACATTACTTTTAATTTTTTGTAATTATTATTTTTGACTTCCACAATAATTATTAATTGTTCTTACTACTATTAATTTTTCCTATGCGAATTGTCCATTTAAGGATATAAATCTTATCTCAGACTGGTGGCCTATACTGACATTTAAGATCGTTATCTTTTCATAGAAAGCATTAAGTGTATTACACTATAATTAAAATTACAGAAATTTTACAAATTGTTTTTAACACCTTGTTCACACTTTAAAGGTGTGAACAAGAATAGGAAATAATTTTTAGCCTTTCAATAAAGTGAAAATTTTTGGGTTCGTTTCCTTGTTTGTCTTATTTTACAGAAACACTTTGGCCTGTTATTTTTCCACAGAAAACATACATTTTGTAAACATAAACATTAGTCACTTGGTAAAACATACATTATCAGCCAAACTTTTACATCTGTCAGTTGTAAGTTCGGAAAGTTCCATGTAAGATGTAACACTTTAACAATTAAAAGAATAATTATAATCCAATTATACATTTTAATGAGCAAACATATCATTGATGATAACGCGAGTATAAATAATAAATAATTGCAATAATAAATGATGTCATGTCATTGTTGTGTTATAAACAGAGTGGTCACCGGCTCTAGTGATGTACAGTGTCCAGGGTGCAGTATTATCATCACTGCTCCTTCCTGTTGATCTGCTGCTGCTGTCATCCTTCATCAGCAATAGATCAGAATCATCAACCACTTCAATGAGGTCACCGCTACTGTCCTTATAATTAATGGCTATCTTTGTATCTTTCAACTGAGCTCTTTTATGAGAGAGAGAGGGAGGAGGGAGAGAGGGAGAGGGAGAGAGAGAGGAGAGACAGAGAGGGAGAGAGAGAGAGAGAGGGAGAGAGAGAGAAAGAGAGGGAGAGAGAGTAAAAAAGAAAAAGCTGATAACACAAATCGGTTTTTGTGGAACACATACACCTTGAGGAGTGCACAAGATTACAAATTTTTTTGAATGCTTAAGTTGCTGCAAGAAGTAGGCGCTAAATGAAGCCAAAGGATTACAGTGAACTTAAATATTTTAAATACTCTTATGCACATGAGAATAACAATTGATGATTTAAAACTTAATGTCCATTCTCTCCTTCTCAGCTGTCTCTCTCTCTCTAACCTTAATGACACCAACAGTTTATGAAAAGTTGGTCTTCTTACTAACTCAGAGTCCACTTCAAGCAACCTAAAAACAAGAAATAAAAAATAAGCTAAACTACTTTAAATGCATATGTATGTGTACAGACATATACTGTCCCTAGTCTATTGTGGGTATGTGCATTAAACTAAATAAACAGGTTCAATAGGAAAAAGTCTATCTTACATTTTCCTTCCTTTGTAGTGACAATTGATTTTCCCAGTAGAGTCATCATCCCATTCATCCTATAAACAAATAATAAGAAGAGAATACAATGTACATTAGCTGCTTTTCATTATGATAATATCCCACTCTATCTCCCTCACTTACAGTTTCTTCCCCAGAATCATTATCATCATCATCATCATCATCAGGTAATGGCTCAATTATTTTTAAATAATTACCAGGGACCAGTCCAACTTTACCATTCACTTTACCCTTCATTATTAATTTAATAAATGTAAATGAGTGTATTAATGAGTAGTTAATTACCTCGTACCAATCTCCGTCAAGTTTTCTTATTAAAATGACGTTACTCCCAGATGTAAGAGACAACTCATCATCATAGCGAGCGGAATAATTATATAAAACCTTAAAAGAGCAAGAGACAGAGTCAGCTTTGTTGCTCAGTATATTTCAAGATTAGATGCTGTTGAGAGTACATTAATATGCAACAAAAAATGTAATAAAATTGGGGTGATTTCGAAGCTAATTTTTTGAAAAAATGGGCATTTAAAAAAAAATTGGTCACAACTCAAACAAAATTATCAGAAACAGCTCAAACATGCTACATAGCATAAGGACATCAATATGTATTAGAAAACAAAATAAAAATTTAGGGTAATTTTGGAGCCAAATTTTGAAAAAACTATGGGCTAATATTTATTCCCTTAGGGTTTTTTTTTAAAAATTGCCTCATTTAACATAACTTGAAAATTATTTGCCCAATTAGCTTTTCATGTATGCATCATGTTGCCCAATTACTAGCAACAAATTAATATTAAATTGATACAATACTTACTTTTCCTCTTGGACCTTTTGAAGGTACAGCAGGAGGTGGTGGTTTAGCAGGAGAGAGGCGAGGAGGAGTGGGACGAGGTGGAGGAGGTTTTGTTGGTTTATTTGATGCACTGTACATTACTTTAATAGTTGGAACTGGGCCAGCAACAGCTAAAGGTTTAACTTCATTAGAAGAGGAAGGAGGTCTAATAGTGGGTCTGGGTGGTCTAAAAATAAAATATTAATATTATTATTATTATGAGAATTAAATTGTGTGAAACAGGTTAAAGAATAGGTTGTATAGTTCAGAATTTAAACATATATTCAAAGAATTAATTATATCATTATCATCATTATTATCATTATCATAGTTATTACTTGTTTGGTTTTTCAGGTTGACTGACAGTCCTTCCTGGGTATGATACACTTGGTTTATAAGGTTTCTCAATATCTTCATAATTTGGTTTTAAAAAACCGAGGACTATCGAGTCATAGCGAATTTTATCAGACATCGCATACAGTTTCTAGAGAGACGAAACAAAAATAATGCATTATATCATTTATATTGGCACAAATAAAAGCAATTTACATTCTTCACATTATCAAGTCATAACTCCTACTGTAATGCAATATGTTGTTGCCAATCTAGTATGACAAACAAACCTGACCCTTCCTCTCCCTCCCCCTCTTTTTTACCTTTAAAAATTCATCAAGGTATGGCATACGCAGTTCAGCTACATCTCTGACAGCACTTCGACCGATATACTTCTTCCCTGCATAAAATAAACAAATAAAAACATGATACTGTTTCTAAAAACCAACCAGGTAGCTGTGGTATTATCCTATCTGATGCTCTTATATTCCCGGCTTCAATTGGAAACCTTTCTTCAAGTCGTTGGACCATTTTATGAAACTTTCGGTATCTACGATAAATGTGATAGACCTCACCGTTCAACCGGGTCACTTCAATCACGTATGCATAGTATCGGGAGACCCCACGCCTTTTCTCGCAATCTACAATAGTGAGAGATTGAGGGAGCGTCTCTACGGCCACACTGTGTATTGTTAAATAAAAACAATAATTTAATTGTGTTATCATTTTTATTGAACTTCTTTGGCTTACCCTTCCTTTCTCGCTGCAGCAATTGCAGTACCGCTAGGAGAAGAACCTTGGCCCTTAGACATTCTCTCAGGAATAAGACGGAGTTGCCAGGAAGAGAGAAAGAAAGAAAGAGACTCGGAAACAGAGAGATAGTAAGAGTGGGAGCGAATATTTGTATAATTTGAGCTTTTGAGGTACCACGCCCAAGGAGGGAGGGGCTCGTAAAGAGCTGCTATGCAAATCATAATCTGAATAGGAAGTCATTAGTCATAGGCAGGGTTGGACCACTTTGCACTCACTGCACTCTCTGTCTTTCTTTCCTCGTTTTATCCTTCTTTAGCAATTGAAAACTGAGAGTAGCAGCAGGTTCTAGCTCAAAGCGCTTCCAGTTTCAATTGAAGAAAAAATGGCTGCAACAGAAAAGGCACTTTTGACAGACGTGCTGGACTGTCTCTCAGGTTAGTTATAGCACAACGTTTGTTTTTAGCTGCTATTCACACTCGAGCGCTCACTAACAAGCGAACACAAAGCGCCTTAAGTATTTTTAGCAAGGACACTAAATGCACAAAGAGATTGTTTTACTCCCCTCAAATATTTTGTGGTTGGTCTTTTCCAAAACCCTGTGGCCGGTGATAATAAGCGCTAATGGGTCCAAAGGTTTAGCCTTTTAAAAGGGATACTCGACGTGTTTTTTCTGTAAAGTTTGGCAATCCAAAATGAAGTTTATGATTTTAGCTGGCCTACACAATCATAATAGACACACAAAGGCAGCTGGAAAGGAAAGAGAAAAAATTTCATTTATTTATGACATGTTGATAGTAAGGTCTACTACATGAAAATGATCATTACAATGAATCCATGATTGCCTGCATTGTGTATCCATAGAGGTTTAATGAACCTATAAAGTATTAATGCAACCATGAATTGATAGCACAAGACACTTGCCTGCATATGGCGTGCTGCAGGGTCATACCCTTCCTATGTAATTGAATATGTAGTAGTAAAGATGTAAAAGTGTTAATACGTGAGCTCACAATGTTTTATTTGTATGGCTTGTTGTATCCGTACAACTTTAATCCTTCGTGTGCGTGTGTGTACATTAAACAATGAAATATTAACACACACACTCTCTCTCTCCTTCTCTCTCTCCTTCTTCCTCTCCTGTAGGAGTTCATCATTATCTCTTACAAGATCTTGCAAACGAGAGACTCTCAGTCCAAAACCAACAGAAAAGGCAGCAGCACATGCAAGCGATGAATGGGCTGATACAAAAGATACAATCATCCCATCCATCAATACGTCCCAGGATGAATACACCGGGAAAGATAAATCCTCTACCTCCTAAACTCAGCCCCAAGCCTCCTCCTCCTGTACCAGTTGAAGAGGAGGAGCCCCAGGAGGTTTATGAGGTACCAGAGAACCCAGCAGCTGAGAACTACTTGTCATTTGAACCACAAAATATCTCACAGCCACCTACAAATAGTAATATACAGCAAGATAATGACTCACAGGTATATTTACTGATGTATTCACTCATTATGTGTTATTTATGGAGTCATTTTGACTTATAGCTTCACCTTTTAAATATTTTGATTTAATTACACATTAACGGGCTATCAACTTTCTGTTCACAATAATATTCAAAGATTGCTTGTAGCAAGCAAAACAAAGGAATATCAAACGTAATAGTGTTAATAGTAATGATAATAATAATAATAATAATAGTAATATTTTATAATAGTAATGATAGTAGTTGTAGTAATGGGTTACTATATGACTTCACGCTGGAGTGACCTATGAGCCTGTTGACACATTCTTAACATTATTAGCTTGATTGTGTTATCACGCACACAAACACACATATGTACCATTTACTATACACATGATGGTACTGCACACATTACATTGCATCATGTATTGTTACATATTGCTATACTCAATAGGAAGAGTATCTGGCTATGGAAGCTGATGAAGATCGTATTGAGGAAGAAACCTACGAAGAGCCTCAAAAGTTAGACGAAGAGCCCCAAGACCTTTATGAAGAAGCCGTTCCCTTATCTATTGAGCCTCCAACACCAACAGTGATATTCCCTTCTGCTCCCACCAGTTCAAAATCATTCGAACCAGCCGGGTACATGGATCCACAGAAGCTAACTCCAGCTGATGAGCTCAATAAGAGAGCTAGCATCATACCCGATGATATGGGAGACTGGGAATTAGCCTATGATCAGAGCAATACTAAGAAGAAAGAGAAGATAAAGGCAGCTAACTTAAAGAACATCGTCATTAAAGGTTGGCTTGAGAAACTGGGAGGAAGAAATCAAACCTCTTGGCAAAAACGATACTGCGTCCTCGCCGGAGTCTTTATGTATTTCTACGAGAAAGAGACGGGGAATACTTACAACAACAGGGTCCCAATGATGGGATTCATGCCTAATCCAGTACCGAGTCTTACGAGACCTAAAAGGAAGGAATTTGCTTTCAAACTGAGCTCAGTAAACAATACCCCAGGAGGTAAAAAGGATTACTATTTTCGCGCAAAATCGGAAGAGGAGTGTACCTCGTGGATCGAAGAGATAAGGAAGACTGGAGATGCTGCTCGAGGAGTCATGGAAAAGAGGAAATCTATGACACTTCCAGCAGCCCGTAGCCAACTCCAACCTCAACCAATACCAGAGGAAAGGGGAAGATCTGTGAGCAGCATCTCCGAAGAGCAAGAAAACTATGAAGCACTTGATCCAATCACAGAACCACAGGAAGACTATGTTGACGTAAGAGCTATAAAGAGGAGAGGAGAGAGGGGATGAAAGAGAAAGAGAGGAAATGTGAATTTGTTGTAAATGAAAGCAGCAATGTACACATTAGTTCCAATAACATACGCTACAGCTTCTTTCTACTTGACAATGTCATCAAATGTTAGTTGATTTAACAGCTATTGTAGTACTTGCTTCATTCAGCTATACGCCAATTATAAAATACATTTGGGACTTCTAAACATCCACTAACCATGTTAATTGTAGTTAAAAATATACACAGCACGCAGCCATACAAATGCACCAGGCGACATACATATACATGCATACAATTATTCTGTTATACTTCCTTAATTAGCTTGACATGTATTGCTTTAGTAATTTTATCAAACAATAACTTGCCATTAGTTTTCTAAACCATCACACCACAAGTGAGCTGCAGCATCATTAATGAGTATGGCTAGAACTCTCAGCTGCCAAATATTCAAATTTGATGAAAGCAGTTTATATTATCATCATTATTATTATTATTTTAGGTAACACCAGGTGCTGAAGAGCCTCAGGAGGATTACGTTGATTTGACTCCTGTAGTACCTAACATATTAGAGGAAGAGCCACAAGAAGATTACATTGAAGCAATTGATATCAAACCTCAATTACCAGGAAAGCCTTCAATACGGACCACACCACAAATGCCTCTTCCACCTCCTCCTCAATCAAACCAACCGACCAATAGACCAGGTGTCCCTCCTCCGGTATCCACAGTACAACCGACACACCGTCCTGCTGTCCCTCGTCCCGATCCAGTGGTAGACACGACTAGAGTGTACGAACAGAATGGAAACAATACCGGCATTGAGTATAAGAATGTATATGTTATACTGTGGGATTTCATGACACAGGAGAGAGATGAGGTTAGTTTAAGAAGAGGCGATCTTGTATTAGTTCCCGATGCTACCAGTGGACAGGAGTGGTGGTTTGGGGAGCTACTGGACGAACACGCTTCAAGGAAAGTCGGTCGATCGGGTCTGTTCCCCGCAAGTTATTCATCTAATGCTTTTGAACTTATCACAGCATCTTAATTGATGGAAATTTTGTATTGTTTCTCTGTCATTGAATATTATTATTATTAATGTACAAACTTTTCTGAGTGTGTGTGTCTTTTTGAAAAGCATTACCATTATTATCTTGTTATTATTATTATTATTTTGTCTCTTTTTAATGGTCTTGTATTAGATTTTTTATTTTTCAAAATATTTTAATGAAAGTTACAGTAATCATGAACTTACCATCAGCAAGAGGTTTAGCATTATTCATTTTCATTTTCTGGTTTTCCCTCGGGTTTTAGTTTTCCCATGATCAAAAGCAGATATCATAGTACAGAGTACATTTCATCGATTAATAATCAATTAATTACGAGTTAAAACCACGCCTACTTAAATATGGCGGATGACAGGCTGAGACCAGACGAGGCCGAGCAATACGATAGGCAGATAAGACTGTGGGGTTTAGAGGCACAGAAAAGGTTCTTTAAATCCTAATCTATCGTTTCATTCCGAGGAACTCTGTGTTATAGATTGAGAGCGTCGAGGGTCTTACTGATTGGTTTGGGCGGGCTAGGAGCTGAGGTTTGTAAGGATATTGTACTCGCTGGGATAAAATCACTAACCATCATTGATAATGAATATAAAAGTGATGTAAATATTGGAAATAGATTTTTATACTTTACTAAAGACACGACAGTAAGTAGCATTATTCATCTTGTTTATCAGTATTTTAATATTATACGTATGTATATATAATATTTATTATTGTTATTATTTTTTTTTGAAGAGAGCAAAGGCTGTAATGTCACGCCTGAGGGTCCTCAATCCTAACGTAGTAATCAATACATATCCTGATTCCGATACTACTAGCACTGATAATACTGATACCAATATAGTGAAGGCTATCAATGATGAATATATTAGCAAGTTTGATTTGTTGTGTGCTACTGGTTGCTCTCAAGATGAACTGGTTAGTAAACAACAACAAACAACACCAACCTCCTGTCCTTCTTTTTCTTTTTCCTCCCTCTCTCTTTCCCTTAGTTACATCTAAATGAGATTTGTCATCGTTTAAAAGTCAAGTTTTTCTGCGGTGATACTTGGGGCTATTATGGATACTTCTTTACAGACTTACAGGAACATAGCTATGTAATGTATGATTATAAAAGAGGAGAGAGAAGGGGGAGAATGTATTATTTTTTAATTCTCAAAGTATTTATCATCTTTACTTTCTATTTTCAGTACTGTCCCCAAGGAGAAAGAAGTGGCTATGGAGATAGATGAGTCCAGCAATAAAGATAAGCACCAGGAGGTATCTCATTTAGAGGAAGAAGAAGAAGAAATGACAATTAAAAAGGTTTTAAATCAGAAAACTAACTACTTGTCATTATGATTATGACTAGGTGATGTCATTTAGCTCATTGCAGGAAGCACTCTCCCACGACTGGAGTAAGAAACCCAGTCGATACTTCAAGAGGATTCCACCAACTTATTTCATTATACAAGGTATCTATTGTATTACCTTGTTTAAAAACTCGCTTTCTTTTAGTTTTACAGCAGTTCAGGGATCATAAAGGACGCAATCCAAGCATTGGAGAAGATGCTGAAGAGGATCGACAGTTCCTTTACAAACTGTGTGAGGATGTTACCAAGCAGCAAAACATCTCACCAGATTTGATAAACAAAGAGTTTGTTAAGTGAGCTTGTTACAGTAGCTGTTGGATTTATTTTTATTTTTGATTTATTATTTTGAAGTTATTGTTTCTCAGAGTTGAGTCCTGTCTGTGCTATTGTTGGTGGAGTTTTAGCACAAGAAATAATTAAAGTAAAATAATAATGATGAAATTTTATTATTGTAAATGTTCTATTTAATTAATTTTTGTAATTTTATTATTTTAAATGGCCACAACTTGAAATTGCAATCAGCTCAAACTTTCAACGTAGCATAAGAACATCAGTATGTATCAAAAAATGTAATAAAAATTTTGGATAATTTTGGAGCAGGCATGGGGTCAAGCACTTGGTGCTTGTACTTAAGTACAAATAAGCACAGCTTTCAAAGTACTTAATGCTGCTTACAAGTACCTTTTCAATATTATAATCTATGTACTTTGTACTTGTACTTAATTACTTTTACAAATTTACAAAAGTGCTTTTAAGCATAGCAAAAATTACACACGAATAGTGTACATGTACATGTATATCTACATCTACATCTACATGGTACATCTACATGTACATTTATATGTCAATGTCATGTACATGTAGTATACAAGTTTCATAGCACATTGTGTGGTCATGTGTTAGCTTGAAGAATGGTAATGGCATCACCATTAGTGGTATCACTCCAAAGCTCTCTGCTGTTTCCATTTATTATGAACAATTCACAGAGTTAGTGTTTATTAGGTGCAATAGTAAATTAACTATAATTGTAATTTTACTTTATTTGTACACTTATTGAATATCTAGTACTTATTAATGTAATTAAGCACTCTGAAAAATGCTTGTTCTTGTACTTAAGCACTTATGTTAAAGCTATAGATTGTGCTTGTGCTGGTACTTATAACACATTTAAGTGCTTGTGTTTGTGTTTAAGCACATTTCCTAGTGCTTGATCCCATGTCTGTTTTGGAGCCATTTTTAAAGAAAAGAGCATGGGCTACTTGGCTATAGTACAGGGTATTTTTTTTTAATGGCCCATTCCATAGTTTGAATCAATTGAAGTTGGAATTGGCTCAAACTTTCTACATAACATGTAATGAAATTAGGTGTGATTTTGGAGCCATTTTTGGTTGTTTGTTTCCCTCTTACAGTTTTGATAATAATAGTAATAATAGTATAGTAATAATAATTATCCTTTCTTTTTAGGCAATATCAGCAAATGACATCCCATTTAATAATATTTTTATGTACGATGGAGTCAACAGCACTGGCATAGTAGAGGCATTAATTAGAAACTGATCATCACCCACGATAATCATTTTTAATTAATTTATGTACTTTTTGAGTTCTTATTAACCTTTTATTCATGCATTAAAAACTGATGCAGCTCCGTCACTCCTTCAACAAATTATAGTAAAAACAACAACAACAATAATAATAATAACAATGAAAAAACAGTAATATTAACAACAATAACATTTAAAATGAAACAAATCAAAATGAAATTTTATACTAAAAACCAGTTTAAAAATGACAAAGTTACAGTTACTTCCAATGTACACTAGTCTTTATTTTTTCCCTCCATCCATGCTTGCCTTCATTTCATCTTTAACAAAATCAAAAGCAGAACCCTTACCGGTTTTAGACAAAAACCCAAACCCATCCCCATCCCCTGATATAAGGTCTGACTCAGGGTTCTTTGAAGGGAACCTCTGGACTGGCCTGTTTGATACCACTGAATAATATGAACCACCACCACCAGGAGGGAAGGACTGAGAGAGAGGAGGATAAACGATTCCTTTTATATTACTGCTTACCTGAACAGGAGGAGGGTGAGGTTGATGGTAGCCACTAGTCATTAGAGGGGGAGGGCCACTGGTTACCATAGAAACGCCAGTTGAGGGCATACTGGTTGCCATGGGAACACCAGACATGAAGGTAGAACCCTAAACAAAGATAACAAATAATAGTAATAATAATAATAATAATAATAATATTTATCGCTGGTACCTGCATCACGTTTGCTGGAGGTACGCTACTACTAGTTAGTACAACAGGTTGTACTGGTTCCATAACTGGTTGAACAGGTCCCTCTAGTGACATGAGTCCACCCAACAATGCACTACCCCCTCCTCCTCCTGTAGTCAGGCCCTCCTCCTCTCTATCACTAACTACCAGTGGATCAAATAGGGACTCATCATCAGTAGGTCTCATATCAAGAAGATCCTTGGAGGAAGAGGGAGGGAGAGAGGGTGTAGGAGCAGTGAGGAACTCAAAACCAGTTGAAGGAGGAGCTGTATCTGGAGACTGTGTTAATGTAATCTAGAGAAAGAGGAAAATGGAAACATACTGTATATGTTAATAAATTCTAATCCTCATTACATCTATTAGATCATGTCCTTGCTGTTCCACCTGCTGTTTTCTAGCTGGTGGGTTCCTAGTCTTGGAGGATGACTGAGGGCGAGTTTTAGGAGAGGGAGAGGAGGAGGTGATGGTCAGACCAGCAAAGAGACCAGAAGAGTCGGTCGTAGCAGTGGCTCCTTCTTCCCCTTCAATTGTTAATAATGCACCATCATTACTAGAGCTAGTGGCATGTATTTGTGACTGTTGCTGTTCATGTATTGTACTGGTAGTCCCCAATAAATTAAGTAGCTGTAATAATAGTAAAATAATAATAATTATCACTAATACAAAAATTTTGGCCAAAGACCCTTTTAAATGTTCTTCGTAAAAATAGCTAAAAAAGAATTCTCCTTTTTAAATATTTTTTTTGATGCATAGGCACAGGATTCCCCCAAAGCATGCTAAGTGAGCTAAAGACCATGCTTCAAGCACTACAATACAGAGCAAATAAAACTTGGAGCAAAAATTGGAACATTTTGAGCAAATTTAAAATTCATAATAAATCCAAATTTGATCGAAGTTGATATACAACATAACAATGTGTATATGTATCAGAAAAAATTATTAAAAAGGAAAATTCTCTTCTTGTGATTTTTGTACTTTCAGCTGAATCAAAAATTAGATTTAAAATTTTTTTAAAGCTGCTCAAAAATCTAACTAAAGACCAGGCATGCAACCTTCATTTTAATTTTGATGCATGCATACTTATCATACTTATATACATGTATTATACTTACTTTATCTGATTTTGCTTTAATTGTTGCATTACTAGAGGTAGATAATGAATTCAGTTCATTTAATAACAAATCAAGATAAGAAAATATGTCTTGTATATCAGACCTAGCCAAACCTTCAACAACAAATAAAGATTTCTACAAAAAGAAAGGGGGAGGGAGAGAGAGGGGGGAGGGAGGGAGGGAGAGAGAGAGAGAGGAAGAGAATGTATTAAACATTACATTTTCTTTATAAACTCACTAGTATCGTTTGATCAGAATCACTATTCAGTTTGTCCCTCAAACACTCAACAATTGCGATACAATCCAATGACTTGCACCTAATAAATATAAACAATGAGCACCTCATAGCCTCTCATTACCTGTTTAAAAATGAGCTCATTTCTTCTCTGTTTGGTGCCACTCTCACTCCACCTGGTGTCGTTATCTGATCAACCAAACGTCTCTCCTGCTCACCATCCCTGTGAACTACAGTAGGAGAGGGTGCGGTCTCAGATCGGTCCCTCCCACTATAAATTATTAAATAACAAATTAAATTATAAACTACTATTCCTTACCCTCCTGTCGTTCTCTTCTCCTCCCCGTCTTCCCATGTCCCTCTCCCTCCTCCTCCTCCTCTAAATGAGTGGGCATTATGTGAACGGCTACTAGCCCCACCCCCTACTCCACCTAAACTAGACGAGTATTGTGGTACAGGAGTTGTGGTTGCGTAAGACTTTTCAATGACCAAACCGGTTCTGTCCTTGCTTGAAGAAGAACCTAGTGCAGAACTAAATAAATTACCAACAGCAGAACCTAAAGAGAAATAGAACAAATTATTGTTATTATTATTTTTATTATTATTATTATAAAAAGGACAAAAGAGAGAGACAGAAAGGGAAAGCCCATAAGGAAAACAAAACAGAACGAAACCCAAAAAAGAAAAACGGAACAAAAAACTAAACTAAAATATAACACATGTAACTATTATAATAATTAATTATTATTAATTACTCAATTGTGATGATATTGAGCTATTGTTATTATTTGTTGGTGAAGGCGTATTACCAAATCCTTGGATACGTCCACCACCTCCACGCCCTCCTAACAAAACAATAATAAAATTAAAATAATAAAACAAATAAAAGTTATATTGTAGTTCCATATGACAGTACTCACCACTTCATAACTCTCAGTAGCTACATGTACTGTACTGTATTAAAAGTGTATAATTACCTAATAATGATGACGATGTGTTATCTCTTGAAGATGAACTGCTGGCCCCACCCAATCCATTAATAATATTACTACCACTGCCGCCTGTTGCCTGCTGTGGTAGACCATAAGGACAGGCACGATCAGAAGGAGGATCGTCAAACAATCGATCAAGAACTTTCTATGAAATGGAAATGTGAAGGACTGAAGGTACTGTACCACTCAGCTATAAGTTTATTTACTTATCATGTACATGACACTGGTACAGCTTGTCTATACATACACTCAAGCTGCACTAGTGAAGGCAGCGCCTGTATCGTGTATTTATCATGTACATGTACGTCAGGTACTTATCTCGTTTTGTGGTGCACTAGTGTAATTATTGCACTAGAGTGTGGAACACAGGTATAGTGTAAACGAAAACTTATAGCTGAGTGGTACAGTACATATACATGTACAGGTATTAACGGTAGAGGCATACTAACTCTTATTGTCTTACATTTGCTAAATCTCTAATTCTTCCACAGTCTCCGGCCACTTCTGGACTAGTTGCTTTCAGCACTAAAGTTCATTTATAAATTAATAATGAGTGTACGCTGTGGCTTACTCGAAGCGCTTTTAAATGGTTCGGGTGTCTTTTGTAGATTTCGATGAAAGTCAGTGTGACCTTCATCAAGCAAACTTAGAACTAACTTTAAAACCTGAGGGAGAGGAAAAGTAAGTGGAGGAAAGCAAGAGGAAAGATGAAGATTATATCTTTTGTACACATACTTTAATTTTTACGTAGACGTTCCTGCTAGAGTCAAGATGATTTATCAAATATTTTTGGAGGAATACTCTCGTCTGTAAAGATTCGTAAGACATTTCTAACGAAATAACAAACAAGCTCAGGAAAAATGACCAATAATTCACTTGGACGACTGCCAAATAAGAAACAATAATGCACTTCTGATTATTTAATTAGAAATACACAAAAAGCTAAGTGAATTAATTCAAATTAGAACATGCAACCCTTGAAATAGATATACTACACTTAATTCTATCTCTTTAGTATTATAAATGAGGTGGATACTGACAATGTCTCTTATTAAATATCCGTCGACTGGTTTATCTGATGCTACAGTAGCGGCTATCAGTGACGGCATCTATAAAAAGAGAAAGATTGATGAAGAGGAGAGTCTGGTATAATGCAAGCCTTACGTGTTGTATGTTGGCCAGTTTCTCTGTCAGGGATGGACCGGCAGCCATTTTGACCCTGTGTCCTTATTTGGAATGGGCGTGTTGAGGGCGTGGTTTGTTGCATTAAGGCGAAGGTGTGGCTAGGGCTGCTGCAAATGCAATCATGGCTGAAGATTTTTCTGTCCTTTTAAAGCCATTTTTAATCACAGTAAGATAAGTAATATTTTTAAATAATTATTTATTGTATGTAGGCTATTAAAGAATTGTCTTCTAAATCTGATTCAATATTCTCCACTGAGCAATGCTTGACATTACTAGATCTAACTGACCACCCATCAACCTCAAGTGAATCCAAGAGTGAATCAGTATCTACCATCTCCTCCTCTGATGGACTCAGTTTAATAACTGGCTATCCACCTTACCCACTGTACAATAGACTTGCTACAGTATTAGCACACTGGATGAAAACTGGGTATATAAGATCTATATGATTTATTATTGTTATTATTTTGATTAAAAACATTATTGTGATTACTATTATTATTAATTTATTTATTATTTCAGTCACTGCCCTGTTCTTGATTTACCAGAGATGTTTCTCCTCAACGAGACGGCCATTATTGAAATAAGGTAGGCTCCCCTAGAGATAGCAATACATTAACCAAGAGCACATGATGGGGGAAGGTTGATTGACATTATTCTATACACAGGAAGGAAAGGATAGAAGGATTGACTCCTAAACTGAAGGGTGCTTACTCTCTTTGGGATTTTTGGTCTGATGATGAAAAGAGATTCTTCCTTACAGAAACACTTCAAGTATTATATTACAAATTGAAATGTATTTCATAATGTATATTGTTACATATACACAGACACTAGGAATGAGAGGTGTAATGGATCTGCTAGGTATAAGGCAGACAGTTGGTAGTGTTGATGTATTGCCTCCGTCACGAGAAACTCTCCTCTCATCATTTGTAAAGCTTCACTGTCCACCTGCTAAATTAACAGTAGGAGCAAGAGCTTTGACTAAGCATCATCATCGGGATGACACTACAAGCTGGTGGGGAAAAGCTACAGGAAGTATGAGATGAAATGACCTTTATTGTATTAGATCTCTCTCATCAGGTGAAGATGAAAAGAATAAACATGCATTGGCACTAATTCATAGAATACTTGATAATGCCACATGGATTAATATACACTGTTTGCCTGTGAGTAAAGCCTTATTACTGTATAGCAAGAAATTTTCATGATCTGAAAATTTCATCCAAAAATCTATTTTGTAGTTTTAATTTTCACGATTTTCTGCCTTTTGACCATGTTGAGCCGTATAAATTGATTTTTTTTGCGAATTTTCTTTTCGCAAATTTTGAATAAATCAACAAATTGGCAAAAATTTTGGGCCACAAAAGATTCTAGCTATATGGTATATTATATATGTTTTATTATGTAACACTAACAGCATGATCTACAAGTAGTAGAAATGAGGACAGTGGAAGGATATGGTGCAAGATGGCTGCTAGATGGCACAGAATTTCGTGGGTTTCTTGAACCACAGATGGAGGACGGTCATGCTGTTGGATGGAGACACTAGAGAACATTAATAGAATTTTAAATTATATTAGGTATTATTGCTATTTTTTATTTCTGTCAATATCAACTGAAACAATTATAGTTTTATTTAGACCAGCAATGTTCTGTATGGAGTGAAATAATTGTGTGTACCTCCTATTAAATAAATAAACAAATGAATAAAAGATATCAACTAACTGATCAGACTGGTCCATTGAATGTAGTAAAGGTATGAGATGAGAGGTACATAGCAGAAGAAACTCACTATCAAGCATCAATTGAATATACTCCAAATCAAGAGACAATGACTAAATTAATGATGACAATAATAATAATTGTTTAGTAGGTTTTACTTTTACACCAGATTCATGATAAGGTTCTTTCACATCACAGAGTTCATCACTATCAATAACTAATCTGTCAAATGATTGTAGGAGCAGCTCTAGCTTATATTTAGACTCCAATGCATCCTCTAAATCGATAACTATAAAATAGAGTGAAACTACAGGAATACTGTACAGTGAATACTTGATGAGCCCTTGCTATCATTAAGAGGCATTGATAAGTGTTCTTTTAAAAGAGTCAGCTCTTCTTTTAGCAGGCAGAGCTTGGCATACTTTACTCTCTCTTCCTGAGCAGCACACAGTTTATCAATTATAAAAATGCGTGCATCCATGTATTCACTTTATTTGAGGTCTTCATATTTTGAAGAAAAATGTCATCCTTAGTTTCATCATTGTCATCATGGATTTTAAAACTAGTCTCTTTAAATCTTAATCAAAAATACTACAATAATATAAGATGGTCATCTCCTTACTTTGAGATTATGCTTCTCAAACGTCTATATTTACTTGGTAATTCAAGACTCCCGCTAGATACATATATAAAATAAATTTGACACATACAAAGAAATATCATACCCTTTATATTTTAAAGTAAACAGCTCTTCTTGTTCCTTTGTATCCTCCAGGTGGGGAGGAGATGGAGGGACAAAAGAAGATACATGAAATCCACTTTCTCCTTTCTCTTTTCTTCTTTTAGCTACACTCCTACCACCAAAACTCTTAGATGTAGTTGAATGAACACTTGAAGACGTCAAAGGTTTCTCAGTCTTGTATACAGACTTTGCTTTTTTAAGGCTCTCTTTACAGGTTGTGGATGTTTTTGTAGCCTCTTTAAAATGACCACCTCCACGAACCTTTTGAGCTACGGCCAGTATTTTATCAATATTTTGTATTTCAGGTGACGGTACTTGAGGAGACACAGGTACACCATTTTCAGGTAGAGAGGAAGAGGGTTCTTGTGGGAGTGGCTTCTCTTTTGATGGCCTATGAAAAATGCATGATTTCAAATTAAAACTTTTTTTGATGATTACCAAGGTTCAAGAATAGCAGTAGATACTTGTATTAGTCTTTCGTATTTTATTCTTAAAAGTTGGAGCCTTTCAGCTATCAAGAAGACTTTAGAGTTATCCATAAGGTAGCACGTGGGTGGGCGTGGTAGTCTAAGGGAAATTGAGGTGTGGTCAGTTAGTAATTTCAGTTAAATAACTTTAATAAATATTAAAAACAATATGGCGGACAAAAGTAAGCTTTTGTGTACATTAATAATTCTCATTTCTCTCTGTTTCTTTTTAGATCCTTCTCTGGCTGATCTTGGCGTTAATGTATACGACCAGGAAGAACTTGAGGCTGATATTATGAGACAATTGGACGAGACTGCAGCTCAGAAAGCGGCAGAACAGCAAAAGAAATTCTCTGAGAGAGAATTGAATCAAATACAGAGAACAATACGAGAACTGAAAGGAAGTCTGACTGCTCTTAACCGCCAGATCAATTCTCTCCTCTCCAGATCTTTACCTGATGTAGTACTAGGATTGAAAGAGCTTAAGAAAGCAAGAGAAGATAAGGTAATTTAAAGCAAATTAAAAATTCATAAATTGACATTTAATATGTGGGATCATCGATGGTGAAATCAATTAAAAAATTTCTATGCAACATAAGAACATGTATCTGTTTATTAAACATGAACATGAACATGTTTTATTAGAAAAATTATAAAAATTAAGAATATTAATGTAGCCAATTTTGACAAAA